CCCATGAGGAATATCGCTTGTCACCCAACTTACAAAGGCAAAAATCACGTTGTGACGGAGTGGTGACGAGTGAGGTCATCACCAGGTAGTGACGAGTGTCACCCCCTTGGTGACGAGCGTCACCCACCCCATAACGAAGCTGCTTCGCTTATAACTGCAGATAATAGCAAGGAACAAGTTTATAAACCCAATATACCCTACTCCAAGCATCCTAGGAAGTCTAAACTTGAGGTAGAAGAAGCCAGATGCAAGGCAATGATAGACAAGCTGATGGTTGAGATTCCCCTTGTTGATATAGTCAAGCTTTCACCTACACTAAGAAGGTGTGTTAAGAGAATGGCTGTGAATGGTCTAAGTCCTGAGGAAGGAGCATTGCTTACCAGAGACATTAGTGCAATTCTCTTGGGCACAGTTCCAAAGAAAAAAAAGAAGGTGATTGTTTCTGAACAAGTTAGTGCTATGATTCAAAGCAGAATTCCAGAGAAGCTACCTGATCCAGGAAATTTTGTGCTTAATTGCTCAATCTCAACAGGAAGGTTTCCTCATTCACTTTGTGATCTAGGGTCAAGTATTAACTTGATGCCTTTCTTTGTTGCTGCTAGACTGACTGATTCCAAGCCAGCTAGGATCTCTCTTATCCTAGCTGATCGTTCCACAAGGACTCCATAAGGTATCTTAGAGGATGTTCCTGTTAAAATTGAATGATGTATGATTCCCACATACTTTGTGGTTTTGGAATATACTGAAATGCCTAAAAATCCTCTTATTCTGAGAAGATCATTCTTGGCTACATCTGGCGTCGTCATTGATGTGAAAAAGGGGAAGATAGAGCTTGATTTGGGTGATGTAGTCATGAATTTAGACATGGACATGTTAAGAGGGAGTTTCACCATTGATGTTCAGACTTTTTCTGCAGAGACTTCAATGGATGAAGATCAAATCAGGGAGCATTCAAGTGATATTACTGCTGGTTATGACAAAGAGTTGGACACTAATGAGCAAGTGAACAAGCTGGTTGTCCAAGAGGCATTGGCTGGGAATTCTGAGAAAGGTGCAAAAGCTGTTTCAAACTTATGCATGCAACGGGATTCTCGTAGAGAGCCTGATATTTCTTTTGATGATTCTGCAGGAAAAAGAAGTGTCTCACCCAAATTTTAAACTCACCCTGCTGTTGTTCCTCACTTCCTTGGAAGATCTTATGCACCTACTGCTTATACACCACCCTGGATGAGGAGACATTATTCTCCAAGGCATTCACTGCCACTTTCTGATCCGCCAGATGTCTGAACCCCGATATAGTCAAGCTAATGACTGAAAACAAGCGCTTGGTGGGAGGCAACCCACTGGTAATTTATCTAATTCATGTACATATGCTTATTTTCGTTCTTCTGGAAAAAAAATTGAGTGGTTTGGGGGAGTGGTGACGACATAGATAGTCACCGAGGTGGTCACCAAAGAGGGGTGACAAGTGTCACTAGTTGCAGACTCACGTAAACACTTGGTTTTCTCTCTTATAATCGTCCCACTTCATCTCTTTTGCCAGCTTCGGGCTTGATAACACTGGGGACAGTGTTGTTTAAGTCTGGGGTGGGGGGAGGTTGTTACTGACATTGTGTTTTATTTTGAAAGTTAGTTGTATCAAAAACCTGTTTTATTGAATCAAAATTAGTTGGGAACTAGGAATTTTTTCTTGTTTTTTTGTGTTGATTGTTTCATCTGAGTGACCACTACTGTAGAATTGATTACACAATTTGACTAATGAAAAATCTTTAGACTGACCAGTTAACTGGAAACATCCATAGTTCTAGCAAAGTCCACAAAACCTGAGCTTTTAAAAGACTAAGTTAGTGAGTTTGATGTTCATAGAGCTTGATTCTCCGTTCATATCTGATAGATTGCTTGCAGTGTTTGAAAAGTAATGGTACTGCTCTCCCTGGTTTGAAGTCTAAGTAAAAAAAAATGAATGAAAAAATTTTTCAAAAATTTGAGATGATTCTCTTTGGATGAAGGGTAGAAAATTTTCCAATGATCCTAGTAATTCATTTTAAAAAGATGATCACAGGTGGAAGTAAGGTCAGGATTATCCTGTGATACCATTATTTACCAACACCGGAGTAATATAAAGAAACATAAAAAGAATAAGTATGGGGGAGAGAAATAATACCAAAGATTGATGGATTGCAAGGCTGTTTATTAAGATATAGTATGGGAATGAATCTAGAAGGCTTTTGAACATTTAGACTGCTAATGAGGTTTGCAAGGATGGTTAGTGGATAATGTTAGGAACTTATGAGGTGAATTTAGGATGATGTGAATGTCTAAGGAGAAGTACATGGTGGTTTGATTTGTTTTAGTTACTGTAGTGTGTAGATTACAAGATGAACAGTCAAAACAATGATCTATGAGAAGGTGAGTTCCCGCGTCTTCAAACCCCGCTTCTGTTCTTAGTTTTCTGTTTTGCTTGAGGGCAAGCAAAAGCTAAGTCTAAGGGAGTTGATATATCATGGTTTTTAGGGTTTTTAACCATGATATAAGTCTTATATATAGAATATTTTTGGTCTTTTTAGAGTCCCATTGGAGTCTTTGCAGGTTAATAGGTGTTTGGAGCATAATTGGAGACTCTGGAGCATTTTGGAGCAAAACAGGAGTTCTTGCCGAATGAAGCAACAAGGAGACATGATTTGCCATTGGTGACGATAGTCACCCTCTATTTGGTGACGCTTGTCACCCACATCTGAGGAAGAATCGCGTGGTTTATTAAAAAATAAAGGAAGAATTGCAGTTTTGGCCCATAATTTTTATTAATTGCAAAAGGCCCCAATTTGTTTTTAGCCTATATTTTAGGTTATTCAGCCACTTTTTGTTTTGTATCTTATTTTCTAGAGAGACAAGGAGAGAGATTTGTTTTACAGCTTTTGGGGAGACAATTCTCAGACTTTGTTTCTTCTGAGAGAAGAATTCGAGTCCCTTTTATCTCTATACTTATTTCTTTTATGCAATCTATTTTATTCATGATGTTTTCTCAATTCACCATGTCTGAGTAGTTTGTTAGTTAGATTTTGGGTTTTTCAAAGGTTATGAATTGTTATAATTGAATTACTGTTGGGATTAATCTGTTAGTTTTTCATCGAGATTCATGTTTATTGCTTATTCTAGCTTCGCGACCTAGAATCTGATATTAGGTTGATTAATAAATGCGAGAGTATTGTTAATTGCCTGAACTAATCTTAGATTAGCAAAATTACTATCTACAAAAAGATTTGATTTATGAATTTTGTGAACCGATCGAACCTGACCTTATTGCTTGTCTGAATTATTTGAATTTGCAAAGAGATTTGAATTCTAGGATTTAGATATAGAAAATCTCTGTAACAAGAGTTGATTGATTTTATATTTGTGTTTCGAGTTCTAGAATGGTGCTTAATAATTATCCTGATAGTTTTCATTCTGCAATTTCAGTCTACAAATTTTCCAAAGCCTACCGTTTTTTCTTATTGAATTTAAAACCTTCAAATCGAAATCTGCTACTTTCTTTTAGTTTACTTGCTTTACATTATTTACTCTTAGCTTAATTCAAATTTAGAATCTGTTGTCTGGCTTCTTTAAGTCTCTTGGAATTTCGATACCCTACATCTACTTTGCTGTGCACTTGCAGTAGTTTTATTTAGGTGAAACTTTGAACCTATCAGACATCTTCGGAGGGAGAATAGGAGCAACCTCAATAAAGGAGCAAACAAAGATCAGTGGAGGAGCAACAAGATGAGCAGAGGGAGGCAGCAGATCTCAGATCTGCAACTCTAAAGGATGCATAAAGAGGGAATATGACAGAACAGGAGGTGGAGAGAGAAAGTAGAGGAGGATGCCATGGCGGCGCAGGGAAGGGAGATGCCATGGCGGCGCAAGGAAGGGAGATGAGAAATTTTCAATGGAGAGTATGAAGCGTCTCCGCAGGTAACGACAAGACGAAAAAAGTTCTTATCGCCTAGTAATCACATTTACTGTTTAGGAGCCCTCGTTTCTCTTCCCAAACATGTCAATCTTCTTTCCTCTCCAGTTAATTCTTTTACTTCCAAGGTTTTAGTCTACATTTGAGCCCTACAACACTGACAATATATGACTAGTACAGATGGTGAGATTGCGGAAATCGGCTGAACACATGAATAATCCAACCATTTTGTTCCTACTACGTCAAATATATTTATTGACTTCACTAAAGTAACACATGTGTATTTTTATGCTAATACAATGTACGTATAACTGAAAATGAATGAACGTGAGCCGTTTACTTTAAAGTCTTTGTGCCATATAAAAAAAAATACAGACGCGGCATTGACTTCAATATGTCTACTCTATGCCATGTCAACCAAATAAGTTGGACAAAACTCAAGAGTTAATTCGTCTTCCAATACAATCAAGTTCCCTACAAATAAGTGATCACTTCTATATTTACTAAATTTGTGAAAGATGGTCAGTGATTGTTTAGAAATCTGACATCCAAAGTAAAAATAAAAGACATGATGTAACTATAAGAGACTTGTCAATTTAATTTTTTGATAAAAATCACGGAGTGAGAAATTGTGAGATCACTGGATCATTACTCCTAATAAAATACAAAAGAAAAAGAGATGAGCAAAACCAGGGCTCTTGTCTAGACAAATTTTCAAAAAAATAGTCTGATGTAGAAATATAGTTTAGGGTTTTAACATAGTTTATGTTGAAGTACGTTAACATAAACCAAAATAGATAAGATCAAAAAACTCGCATATATCCAAAATATATTTTAACCCGCTGCATAACATATTAAATGTGGCGGGTTAGTCTGTTTTGACACCCTTGACCTTATTCCTTTTATTGAAATCATAATTGTCTAAAACCAAAATCAAGATCTGAACTTATATGAGCTGTGCGATCTCTCAAAGTCAAGTCAACTAGATATTTACAATATATACTTCATTCTATCTATATATTAGGTATGCATGCATGTAATTAAGTTAATAAAGCTCGTTGACGATGGCGGCGCTTCTCCATCTCATCACTCTCTTCTCTCTCTCGGCCATAATCCTTTCAGTCGCTGAAAGTACGTACAAATATCCGAACGTTAATATTTTATCTAAACTCGACCCAAGTTTAATTATATCTAACTCACTAATCGTATTTTCTTTGTTTGATTATCATTAGATATAAGCATTGACTGTGGATCAACGGGATCGTACGTGGACTCCAACAATGTAAGATGGGTCGGAGATACAGGATTCGTCACCACCGGCGAGACCATGAAGATTCCGGACGTCGTTACAAAGCCGATCAACACCCTCCGGTACTTCCCAACGGGCCAAACCAACTGCTACACCAACATTCCGGTGATAAAACACCGGAAAACCCAAGTGAGGACGAAGTTTTACTACGACGGGAAGTATTCGCCGCCATCTTTCGACGTGATTTACGACAATAAACACCGTGATCTTGTTGAGATCACTGATTCAGTGGTCAATGACGAGGAAAACTTCTATTCTTCGGAGGTGATATTTGCTCCTGCGAATGAGAATATCAGCGTGTGCTTCTTCCGTACGTCTCCATCCGATGACCCTTTTATATCGTCCATAGAAGTTTACAGCTTCGACGTCGGCATGTATGTAACGCCCCTGACCGCCCATTCCGGCGAGCCACCCATCCCTCTGTCGGGCTCGTGGGCTTGTCTCTGTCCGACGGTCGGTGCGTTATTTTTCCCGGAGTCCAACCGACTTATTTACTGACCCTGCAATCACCACATGATCTTTCCCCGTGTTTTGGCCTCACTCACACGGTTTCGGGAATCACTTCCCGAAAGGTCACACATCCTAGTCCTACTCCAGCTCAAGCATCCTTAACTGTAGAGTTATCTCGGGACCAATGACTAAAAAGATAAGTGCACTTTGATGACATAGGTAGCCAAATTAATCCATTTAAACTTATTTAAATGGGCCGGGCCCGGGTTGTTACAATTCTCCCCCATTAAACGGGAATTCGTCTCCGAATTCTGACCCCGATAATGTGAGCCTTAACCCCCAAACCCCAAGACAGTCTCCTGGGACAGAACCAGTTTGACTTTCCAGGCTCTGATACCAATTGTAACGCCCCTGACCGCTCATTCCGGCGAGTCACCCATCCCTCTGTCGGGCTCGTGGGCCCCGCCCCTGTTTCACGGTCGGTGCGTTATTTTTCCCGGAGCCCAACTGACTTATTTACTGACCCTGCAATCACCACATGATCTTTCCCCGTGTTTTTGCCTCACTCACACGGTTTCAGGAATCACTTCCCGAATGGTCACCCATCCTAGTCCTACTCCAGCTCAAGCACCCTTAACTGTGGAGTTCTCTCGGGACCAATGACCGAAAAGATAAGTGCACTTTGATGACATAGGTAGCCAAATTAATCCACCGTGAACACCGTGATCTTGTTGAGATCACTGATTCAGTGGTCAATGACGAGGAAAACTTCTATCGGAGGTGATATTTGCTCCTGCGAATGAGAATATCAGCGTGTGCTTCTTCCGTACGTCTCCATCCGATGACCCTTTTATATCGTCCATAGAAGTTTACAGCTTCGACGTCGGCATGTATGTAACGCCCCCGACCGCCCATTCCGGCGAGCCACCCATCCCTCTGTCGGGCTCGTGGGCCTGTCTCTGTCCGACGGTCGGTGCGTTATTTTTCCCGGAGTCCAACCGACTTATTTACTGACCCTGCAATCACCACATGATCTTTCCCCGTGTTTTGGCCTCACTCACACGGTTTCGGGAATCACTTCCCGAAAGGTCACACATCCTAGTCCTACTCCAGCTCAAGCATCCTTAACTGTGGAGTTATCTCGGGACCAATGACCGAAAAGATAAGTGCACTTTGATGACATAGGTAGCCAAATTAATCCATTTAAACTTATTCAAATGGGCCGGGCCCGGGTTGTTACAATTCTCCCCCATTAAACAGGAATTCGTCCCCGAATTCTGATCCCGATAATGTGAGCCTTAACCCCCAAACCCCAAGACAGTCTCCTGGGACAGAACCAGTTTGACTTTCCAGGCTCTGATACCAATTGTAACGCCCCTGACCGCCCATTCCAGCGAGTCACCCATCCCTCTGTCATGCTCGTGGGCCCTGCCCCTGTTCCATGGTCGGTGCGTTATTTTTCCCGGAGCCCAACTGACGTATTTACTGACCCTGCAATCACCACATGATCTTTCCCCGTGTTTTGGCCTCACTCACACGGTTTCGGGAATCACTTCCCGAATGGTCACACATCCTAGTCCTACTCCAGCTAAAGCATCCTTAACTGTGGAGTTATCTCGGGACCAATGACCGAAAAGATAAGTGCACTTTGATGACATAGGTAGCCAAATTAATCCATTTAAACTTATTCAAATGGGCCGGGCCCGGGTTGTTACAATTATCCCCCACTAAAAGGGAATTCGTCCCCGAATTCTGATCCCGATAATGTGAGCCTTAACCCCCAAACCCCAAGACAGTCTCCTGGGACAGAACCAGTTTGACTTCCCAGACTCTGATAGCAATTGTAACGCCCCTGACCGCCCATTCCGGCGAGTCACCCATCCCTCTGTCGGGCGTGGGCCCGCCCCTGTCTGACGGTCGGTGCGTTATTTTTCTCTGAGCCCAACTGACTTATTTACTGACCCTGCAATCACCACATGATCTTTCCCCGTGTTTTTGTCTCACTCACACGGTTTCAGGAATCACTTCCCGAATGGTCACCCATCCTAGTCCTACTCTAGCTCAAGCACCCTTAAATGTGGAGTTCTCTCGGGACCAATGACCGAAAAGATAAGTGCACTTTGATGACATAAGTAGCCAAATTAATCTATTTAAACTTATTCAAATAGGCCGGGCCTGGGTTGTTACAATGTACGCCGATCTTGGTCCCGACAAAGGTCTTATTCTCCGAGAAAGAGCTGCATTCGGTGCCAAAATAAGTTATAAGGTATACATCATAAAGCCGGTTTCCTCGAACGTTTGCGGTTTGATGTATATAATCGTAGTATTACAACTTTTTTAATAATCTCTTTTTGTTAACAAAAGTGAAACCCCATAATTTCATTCTCCTTAGCATATGTTTATATTTTTGACTTTTTTGCTTTTTTTGTTTTGTTTTGTTTAAAAGCTTTAAATTTGGGGGATTTACAGCTGTTTCATTTGGCATGTGACTTTGATCCTGTGTATATATATAACTAGAGGTTGATCCGCGCTACGCGCGGATGTGTACATTATTTTTATATAAGAAAACTATTAAATTTGATTGTATAATTTCATTATGTACCATCTATCTGCCTCTGTTTGAAATAATTAATTTTGGCTAGCCTATGTTTTGTAATTTGCAAGAGTTAGTTTTTCTTGTAATAATAAATAATTAATTTTGGTATGTTTATGTTTTGTAATTTATAAGAGTTAGTTTTTTTTGTAATAATAAGGTATGCGTAGAAGTTTGAGGCGAGTTATGCGTTGATGTGTACTTTATGTTATATTTTTGTTTATGTTTTCAGTTGTTGTTATTGGATTATATTTTTATTTTTCTGATTTGAAATTTTTTTTTTGTTTTATTTAATTTTTTGTCATTTTCTAATTCCTGTTCTAATGGTTTTTATTATTAAATTCTAATGTTATATAATTGTGGCGCATAATTTAGTATGTTTTAATCGTTTTATTTGTCTCACATATAGTAAGCTCTTAATGGAAGCAATGTTTGCATGTATAAGCGTCATTTCACATTGTCGGTTATTTTTCTATTAATATCAACTTATCTTATTAAGCTATTTTTTGTAGACTCACTGATATAATTGCTTTTTATTTCATTCATATGAAATATAAATGGTTATATAATAAACGCATTTTTGATGTTGATTTTTATACAATTATTCTTTTAGTCATATTAATTTAGTAGTTCGTTTATGTTTCGTGATAGAAGAGTTGAAAACATGATCTTTTAAAGCCCATAAGCCCATTCTGAAAATATGTAAACGTCATTGGTGGTCGTCTTCTAGGCCTTCGCTTAAGCTTGAAACTCTTTTCTGTAATGATCTTCTCGAAGGTAGTGTCTAGTGTTCGATCATGATGTTGATTATTGATATATAAAATTGATCTTCTGTTCTCCGTTCTGTTCTACCTTTTCCTATCTCTAACTGTATTATTATTTCGTTATTGGATGATTTGTGCTTTTTTTGCTTCCTTATTTCCGGATTCAATCGAGGGTATTTATATTTTCTCCCACTCTCTAATTTTGCTTTGTTTGTGATTTTTTTTCTTTCTAATTCATTTCCCGCTCATGGTTTAGAGTCCACAGTGCGAGAAGTTATGGACACAAAATCCTCCTTTCTCGGTTGTATTGTCAAATGATGGTGGTTTGTGTTGCTCTCTCTATGTGCCGCCTCTTCTGAGTATGTGATCTCTGTTTCTATGATATTAATTTATGTTTGCAGACTATGGTATTGTGCGCTTATTTGATTAGTAGGCACATTGAAAAATATTTTTTTTTTTCATTTTGACACTCTGCAAATTAATTGTTAGGATTCTTGATAATTAGTTGAGGCACAACTTGTTGGTGTGTAGAAGCTTAATCTAAACCGTTTAATTGTTCGTGTTTTATTGTTGGTTTCGAAGGTCTTGTATTTGGCTTGGATTATGTTAAGTTGCCTTTTTATCTTATGTGTTTTCATAGAATTGGGACGTTTTGAGAAAGCTTTAACTTAAATGGTTTCTATATTGTTTGTCCGTAGAGATAACATTTGTTTTAAACTGAGAGCATAAAAATTTAGAAAATGTGTATTTGTGTATTGCGAAGAGTAATAGAGATTAACTAAAATAATATTTGTTTGGATAACAACATAAGATTATGTGATTGCGTCACAATAGTTTTTCTTTTATGTCTAAATGATGTACACAAACTTGACGATCTGTTTGTAGTAGTAACAGTGACGGCATCTGTTATCTAGTTCGTTTGGGTTGCACATTATTGATGGCTTCATATTCGTCAAATTCACTAAGACGGACCTTCTGACTGCTGGAGAGGAAAGAGATGTGTTTTGTTTTGGTTAGTTATGTAATTTTCTGAAGTATTGCATGAGAAGGAGGCAGAGATATGGAGTTTTCAGAAGGGGTGAGACTAACCTTTGAAGGTACATTTGAACTAACATGCGTTCAATTTCGAGGGAAGACTCGTTCCAGTAGGCTTTACTTGAACAAACTTGTCCTAGGACGTCTGTGTTATGAAGGTGTTCCAGTTATTAGTACAGAGTTTACTGTTTATTCAGTCAATAGGAGTACAATTAATTATGTGATGAGTAAATGAATACCTGGGAGGTCCTTGTTGGTGTTGGCTAAAGCAAGAAGTTCTTCGTGAGAACCGGAATAACTGATTGGGAATCTGGTAGAAGGAATCGTCGGCGGGAACCATAGTAGTGATGTGAGTGAAGCGTATGGATTTGTCAAAATCAGTGAGTTGGAATCTCGGGGTGCTCTTTGTGACATCGAACCCACTGATAACATAGATGATCAATTCATTTAGCAGTGCTTCGTACTCCCGAGAACACGTTGGACCTCACGGCCTGATTTGAGATCAGAGAATTCGAGATAGACACCTGCCATGAGATCGTTGTTGAGAGGAGATGTGCTTTAGAGTTTGAAGAAAATGATGAGGATATAGTGTGGTATTTATATGTGGGGAGATCGGCTAGAGAATTAAATGGAGGATTTGAGTAGTGGGCAGTAGAATTGAAGAGGGTAAAGTAATACCTTTGATTAGTGGACACTGTGATGAGCCGTTATGATTTTAGAGTATCCGTTACAGATTTTAGTTTTAGCTGTGGGGAAGATAAGAAGCTGCGGGCGTCGATGACGCTTGCAGTTTTTTAGAAGATGAAAAGAGCAATGTTTTTTGTGATGTTGAGCTAGGGTTTTATATTCGGGGTTCTAATCTGTTTAACTCTTAATCTAACCCAACATAACTCGATAAAACCCAAAATTTAGATATACATATAGAAACCCATATAGTAAATCATATATATAATGAGCAAGTTATCTCTCCATCTAAGGTGTCCACATCAGCATAATTTTTATTTTAAAATGGGCTTTTAAATATTTTGGGTTTTATTTTTTTTTATATATTTTGGGTATTTATTTTTGGGCTTTTAATATGATTAAGTTGAAAAAAAAACAAATACTTATTTTACAAATCATAAAAAATTTCAAATTCTTCATTTGTGAAAAAGAGTTTGGAAGGATTTTTTCGAAAAACTTACAGAAAATAATTATCAAAATTTATAAAAAAAAACCTTAGAAAGATTTATATATATAAGGCTAAAGTAAAATCATATATATTAAACAAATACTTGTTTTATAAACTATACAAACTATGAATTCTCTTTGAAATAAAAAAATTCAAAAAGTTATTTTGAATATAAACAAAAATAATTTGAAAAAAGAGTTGGAAAATGAACAGTTACGAAATATGACAGAAGAATTTGCTCAGAATAGTTATCAAACTTATTTAAAAATGCTCTGAAATATTAATTCTTAAAACTAAAGTAAAATAATTCATATCCACTTTACTGTATAAAATGAATGAAACTTTTTCATAAATAAAGAAAAATAAAGTGTGTAATTATATAGCATAGAAATGAATTTGATTTATACGAAGGAGAAAAAAATGGCAAATACTTATCAACCTTTTTTTTTAATGATGGTAATATAAAATTGATATGCGATCAAATTACTCATCAACCGGATAATATATGACTTTTAATTTAAAATATATAAATAAACTAAAACAAGATTATTGGTTATACTTTTTAAGATAGTCATGTTGTTTACATTCACATGATATGAAAATAGACAAAAATATTCTCACACATTCACAAATATAGTCAGGTAGTTCATCATTGAAAAAAAAACGCCTCAAATCAATTAAAATCAATAATTTATCAACTATGCATAATTTTTGATATAAAAACCCATCAAACATATGTAGTATTTGAACAAATATTTTGCTCTGTCTAGCCAACTCTAACTAAAATTCTCTTCATTTAGAGTTATAACCGATCACAGAACTGAATGAGATGGAAGCTTGCATGAAATAAGAGAAACAATTAGTAGATTACAATCAGAATAGCGAGACTAAGAGCTATAAGAAAAGAAAAAAAATAAAAGACTAATTGTGCTTGAAAATGAGGTAGATTCCATAAAATATTAAAGGAATATTTAGTTTAGAGTGGAAAAAGATTAATGATGATTTCACTTTGTTGATCTATGAAAAGATTATGTAGAAAAAGATAATAAATCAATTGAATACAGATAAACAGTAAGAATATAACAATTAATACATAACAATCTATATTAGAACAACAAAAACATATAAAAATAAAAGACAAATATAACATACAGTAATATTAATTTAATATAATATATTTAAATATATAAAATTTTAACAAATTATTAAATAAGTCCGCGGATAAAAATCTAAGATATAGAAGCTGGGAAAAGAGAAATGAGGTTGCATCTGATTGGGACGCTGATATGGCTGCATACGAATGCGAAGAGAAAAAATGTTACTTTATAGATATAGATCAATTTCAAGTGCATTAAATGAATTTGTGTTGGTTAATTTAGCTATAATTACTTTCTTTTTACAATACTATATATCATTCGTACCAAATTATTTAATTTTGATATTTTGGTTTCTTGGAAACTTATTTTAGCTATCCGTCAGATCCTTACGGTAGACTTTGGTCCCCGATTGTTCCCGAATTAAAGCTCGCACTAATAACCTCAGCCCCGTCGGTGGACATCACCGGGGCGTCGAACAAGCCGCCGGAGAGTGTTATGTCAAAGGCAATGTTAAACATCTTAGTCCTCTACGACCTGGCTTTCCCCTTAACCGGTATACCGGTATACTTGGCTCTTTACTTCTCGGAGCCTCTGAGTCTACATCGGACCCAGAAGCGGTCATTCAACGTTTTCTTGGACGACATGCAAGTGGGTTCAGATCCAATCGTACCGGTTTTTGGGAAAGCGACTCAAGTCGTCCTGAGAGATGTAGGGGCAACGCCGGAGTCTAATATAGTCTTTCAGTCCACTGACGACTCGGATTTACCGCCCATCATCAATGGTTTGGAGATATATTCGATAAGTAACAGCCAGTTCGGTATAGCTAAACCACGAGCAAACAATGCAGTAAGAGGTTTGAACTGATCACAATCTATCCATTTCTCTCTTTCTCTTTGTGAATAATATCAAATTTTTGTAATATATGATTGTTATTGCGATTTGTTTTACAATTTGTATATTATAACCAAAAAAAAATTTGACACCCTTCCATGACGGCATCAGATGAGGCAAAAGCCACTGGAGGAAAGAAGAAGAAAATCAAATTACCACTCATTCTTGGTGTTACGTTTGCCTCCGCGTTTGCAATTCTCTCATCAGCGTTTGGAGCCATTTTCATAAGAAAGTCTGGAAACGCTAAGCCACGGTCCAACACAGCACCAACTACGTCCACAGGTATATATATCGTTACTTAACCGTTACATATACTATATGATATAATCAAATATATATGTGAATATATATTACAAGTAATATTGATCTTTGGGTCTCTCTCGTATGTTTTCAAGGGCATGAAACAGGCACCGGGATGTCGCCTCTGGTTGGACAACAATCTGCTAGTGACACAAATGTGGAGAATGTTTAGCGATTGAATTTCAGAGAGAGGATCTCACGATTTACTCTGATGCAACTTAAGAACTTTATTCATCTTGTTCTTGAAAACCCAATTTTGTTTTGCAATTAAACCCATAAAATTGAATGAAAACCCAAATAATTTCTAATTTAATTCGATTTCAACCAATTGGATAAGAATCAATGAAAGTGAGGAGTCGGAAACCAATGAAACCTTTCGCATTTTACAATTTCTAAACAATGAAGAAATTGAAAATTGAAAATGAAGAAATTGAAAATTGAAAAAAAAGTGAAGTAGAGATAGAGATGAGCCACACACGATGAACATTATTTGTTCAATTTTATAATTTTATTTAAAATAATTTAAGTTTATGATAGTTCAAGCGTTTTCTGTTTTAAAACACCAGGTGGTTTTCAAACGTCATGTTGTTTTCTCACTTTTAAAACGGTGCGTTTAACAGTCCGTTTGATTTTCAGACGCCATCCACTAATGCCACATCATCAATATATAGAAAAGTTGTATAGCGGGTTGACCATAACATTATGGGTTGACTTGCATTTTCAATGAATCGAGGGTAAACTTGCAAAAAAAATCACTTTGAGGGTTTATTTGCAGAAAACCCTATTTTTATTGATCAAAAGGTAAAAAATACAATGCTGTGAGAGGAGATTTTATAAACAGTCCAAACAACTGTTGCCCTTCTTAGAGTTTTTAAAGCAAATTACATTAATGAAAACACAAATGGTTGAAATTAAAATAATGATAATTGGTGAAACAAATGTCTTTGACTACTAATGTAAATTAAGAGAATCATCACTTAAACACAAAAGCAATCTTGTTTTATTAGTAAATATCCAAAGGAAATTCAAATAGGATTAGTACATACCTTGGTTTGATTTGCATGGTTTAGATGGAGTGCTGTGTTTAAGCTGTTCTTGTACTGATGCGTTTTGGCCTCTTTAGTTAAGTGGTGAAATGCTAAATAAGGTAACTTCACTCCTTCTTTGATCATTAGCCATTCTTTGGTATAAAATATGCTTTTGATGCTTGGACCGTCCTTGGTATGTATATCTTGGCTTTGGCGCTCTTCTTGTATTTGAATGATGCTGTGCTCTTCAAGCTCTTCTTTGACATGAGATGCTTCTCTTAAAATACTTAGTTTATCACGTTGAAACGTAACCTTCAAGCTCTTGGTTGATCATCAATGCTTCAGCTGCTTAATTAAAACTTTCATAAACATCTCTTGTTCCTGTTTTGTTCTTGGTGTTGTCCTGATTGTGGGAACTAGAGTACTTCTTCATTAATTGTCGACGAGCAAGATCCATTTGTTATTCATGTCCTTTCTTATTTATGATAACTTTTTTTATTTATAAAGAGTGTTCTTTTTAATTTATGTCCGAGCAACAATTTTTATTAAAGTAATGGGAAAGGGTAATTTAACGCCGAGACAAGAAGTGTTGCCGATCTATAACGTTATCCACATATATTTTTGGAAATCTATACTAAATAAAATGGATTGTTTGGGGCTCCTAAAGCCATCCATATCAGCAAAAACAAAATCTCTATAATCATGCCACATTAGCAAATCTCTAATAAAAATAATTTTTAGTACATTAATAACATACTTAAAATTAAATAGTATTTAATCAACAATAATAGTAATATTTGAATATTGATTAAATTGAATGTACTATAATAGCAAAACATATGAAATATAATTTAATTTTAACAAAAAGAATAATATATTATATATATACTATTTTAAAATTTACAGTTTAAGTTAATAATAATCACATGTTTAAACTAAAAATCGATAAGATATAATATTATTAGGTATTAAATTCGTCAACACAATAATTAAAAACATCAAATATGTATAATTATGTGCATATTATTCCTTTATTTTTGGCTAAATACATTTAGACATAAATTAAATTATTTACAGTATAGTATTCATCGTTATAGTTATGTGTATGTAAAAATAAACTTGCATAACTTTATATTAAACATTAATATATTACACTTCCATATTTAAAATAGTATATATATGTTTATATAAAATAAAATGTCATAAAAACTTATCTAACCATCTATATCAACAAAAAAGAAATTCTTAACAATCCCAACATGTAAGGAAAACTAATAAGTCTAATATGGTTTTTTTTTGTTAAGAAACTCTTTTAAAAATAACATAATATATATTATTATTTTAATTATAAAAGTTCACCAAAATATATATGTAGAGTAAAAAAAATATCTAAGTTAAATTATAAGCAAATACAAATGAACCTTTTACACATTTTGAGTTTTGAGAAACTCAAAATACTTTATTTAATGGAATGAGTTAGTATGAAACTGTATTTGTATATGTATTATTTGCTTTAATCACACTTCTATCATTTACAGATGTTTCAAGGCTCAAATCAAAAATTCAGTTTATCAATATGATTATGATTTTGTATAATATGTAAATATTATTTTTATTTATATGAACAATAGTTCTTTTACGGATTTGTAAAAGTTCTGAACATTGATTGTTGTTTTGTATTTAAGACTGCTCATAAAAAAAATTATTACACGAACACAATTTAAATGACAAGAAATCTAAATTAATTGAAACAAAAAATATAGGTGTTTCAACTGTAGTCATATGTTTGATAAGTTATTTTTTGAATGAAAAACTGTTTAAATTAAATAAAGAAAATTGTTTTAGTTGTTAAGTTCAATTATATATTAATTTTTTGTTAAAACAAAATTAATTTTAATAGTAGTTTGAAAGTTGGTAAGCAGTAATGAGTTTATTTATAAATATTAATTTCTAGATTAACAATTAATTTTACATATATCAAATTAGTAAAATTTTAAATTAAATCATAATACATTTTTTCGAATACGTTAAAATGGTTTAAATGTATGACTACATCAAAATGATATTGAAAATATTAATTTATAAATAAAATAATTTACTAAAATAATAATTAAATATTTATGAAAACAATCTGCGCGTAGCACGGTAATATTTCTAGTAGGTGTAAAAGTTTTTTCAATTCGTATGATCATGTGATCATGAAAATAATGATCATGTTTGGTGGTAGCCTACCAAATATTGTACTTTAATTATCATGTAAGCCGAAGCAAAATCCATTTCCAATTAGATTTAAGTTAGACAATTAATTATAAAATGGGTAGAGACTTAGAGTACCGGACGAGAAAATAGCATTAGCTTGGTTCAAAATGCTCTTCTTGTTCTTTAACGGGCTTGTAGTCATAGTGAGATTTCTTGTTAAACGTTGCTTTTTGTTTAAATTAAATGCGTATATCTTCAACCAAAAAAATAAAAAAGAAAGAAGATATTAATGCATTACCACTGCAAAATTTTCAAAATAACTATTTTTTTTTGAAGATTATATTATTTCAGCTGAGAATAATTCCGGTTACAAAACATTGCTGTAGATCATTGGTTCTAAATTAGTTAATAATTTATTTGTTCTTACACACATCATTTGACGCCACCTTCTTTGATCGTTAATCGTTTTCAATCTTCTTTCCTCTCCATTTAGGTTCTATATATAGCTTCAAAGGTTTTCCATTGTTGGTCTACTTTGGAATTACACCAGTGACAATCTCCTACACATTATTTGAGAAGTACAAACAATCCTTTACACATTATTTGAGAAGTACAATTAGTAAAAATTATTAATGTGTCACACTCATAATCAAAATTAGTGTATTGTATTGATGACATGTAAATGCGACATGTCGAAATTTCCTAAAATAAACCAAATATTTTGATTGGCTGAATTAATATTAATGAAACATGAAATTAAACATAAATACACTAGATTATAAATAATTTTAAAGTAACAAAAAAGATAATAATTATGATTAATGTTTTTACATATATTCATAATTATATAAAGTATTAGTACGAAAATTTTACAATAATATATACATATACACATTTATATATTATAATTTTCGTATAAAAAAGAAAATAATAATATTAGATTATCTAATAAAATAGTAAAAATTCTATATATTAATAATGTTTAAATATGATATATTCTTATTTTGGAAAGTTATTAATTTATGAAAATTTCTAATAATAACATCTAAAAACGTTTTAACTAGATACATTATTAAATAGTAGAATTTAAAATAAAATAAAATCATGATAAATAATTTAGAGAATAAAAAGAGTTAAAAATAATAAAATAATAATTAACTTTTATTGAAAGTTTCCAAAGTAACATAACTTAAAATAATTTGTCTGTTCGAATTATTACTTGTTATGTCAAATGAATAAAATATATACCAATTATTACTATTTTATAGTATTAATATGGCCATATATTTATATATAACTTAACACTTTTATACTGCTGTTTTTTTAAATTTACATAGTTTTTGTTACCATCTCATATCCTCTCTTATCATATTTTACATAAAAATAAAAGTTTATATCATATTTATATATGTACGTATTTTCATTGTATATCGAGAATTTGAGATCATAAATGAAATAAAAATAATCGAATGAAAGAATAAATGATAATAAGATGAAACAAATGTAAATAAGAAGTAAAAACAAACATAAATCTTTACAGTTTTGGTTTTTCATAAAAATATCTCGGTTTGTTTGATAAAGTATTTAAAAAATCTTGAAAATGTGCTTTATTTTTAAAGAACACATGTGCGCACCAAATTTTATAATACACATTTGCTTTTATAAAAATATGATTTCACAAATTTTATAACAAAATTTTCTTATAATATTTATTGAAAAGGAAAATTACTAATGGATTTCTAATGTACTATATTTATCTTCATGATAAAGTGAATCTTATATTTTAATGTTTTGAAGAGTTTTTTGTAATTTTTGTTTATATTTAATATAATTTTTAATTTGAAACTATATATCACAAAATGCTGAAAAATAATTTACCAAAAACAAAAATCGCTGAAATATAAATATTTTTTGATTAGATACTAAACGATAGAAATGACTTTCGTGATTGTTGATAAAAGCCGAAAATGACATTGTGTAAAAACATACCGTTTGCGGAAAATATCAGAAAAACTAACCAACACCT